TTTCTTCTTCTTCTTTCGTTTGCTTCTTCATCGCTGGAGTAGACTGTTATAGCTTATCCTTCGTCGTCGGCCGCTCGTCGACCGTTCGAGCACTCTGTTTATCCCGAGGTTTGTTTAGTCGCCGACTGGAAGGCCATAGCAAATCTATCGTAAATCAGCGTGTCATCGAATTTGTTCGTTTGTCGCGGGTGGCCAATGGATCTTTGTAGAGAACGTTGTCATCTGCAAAGGAAACCACACTGCTGCTTAGTCGTCGGATTTGAGTGGTGCGAAATTTAGGTGTGAATTCTTCTATATATGCGGATATAATATATATCTACAATTAAATACCATTTTGGTAAATATAGAAACTCAATAGTCGGATATATTTTATATTTATCATATAGGTTTATCTAGTAATTGTATTGGATTGCATTTGCTAGGTTAATTTTAATAGGAGCAATTCATAATAATAAAGCAGGTGCTAGGTGTCTAAATTGATAGAATATGTTAATGCCTAAATTGATAGAATATGTTAATGTTATATGCAGATATAATATATATCTATAATATATAAGTTTATATGAGATTGAGACTTCAATAGTTAAAAATTATATCCGAATATATTTTATATCTATTATTAGATACCAAATTGCAAGATACAATCCAGTTCTGTTGCTTTTTGTTGCTGCTGAAAACTTTTGATGTTATACTTCCTAATATCATTAGATCGTGGGTAAATCGTGAGTATATTTTTCAACTATTTTGAATTTGAAATCATGGGTACATCTACCCATTAGCTAATTTAGAAATTGAAATCATGATAATCTTTTTGTAATTAATATATGCTATCCATATACTAATCCCATTAATATATGTACGAGTGAATTAAGGATTAAGAAAAAAATTGGTATGTGACCCACAATAATTAAGGGATTATGTCTACAATTTAGGGATTTAAATCTTTTAGATTTAAAAAAAAAAATTTCACAATAATAAATATAAATATAATAAATAAGGGTAAAATTGATATTTTAAAAAAATCCTAGATACATGCTTCTAAGGAAAACTTTACTCGAGATTAACTCAAAAAATTATTTTCACGCAAAAGGTGCTCATTTTTCCACATTGTAGACTAGAGGCTCAATGTATGGGCCACACCATACTGATTCCAAGTCTTTGCATTTGCTCATTCTTTCCACATTTAAAAGTCTTTATTGGCCTTATTGGATTTATACCAATTAATGTTCTTTGTTCCATAGAGAGAGCTCCTAACCCAACCATAAGACTAAATGAAAATTTTTGCTATACTTAAAAATTTTAAAAATAAATGACATATTTTGAAATAGATAAAAAAATTTTGCTACCCACCGCCATTTTTTCGAAAATTATTATTTTCATAGTGCACTCTGTACTTCCCAACCTTATGAAAATTTGTTGAACCAGTCATCTCTTTGGTACTACAATGAAACTCTATTGAAGACTTAAAAGTAGTCATGATCTTTAGTCGATGCAATTCCACCCTACCTAAAGTCATCGCAATAATATTTGATATTCCAATTACATACCCCAAGCAACAATATATTCTTTTTTTTTTCTTTTGAGTAAAAGCAACAATATATTCTTTATCATTAAGTTTCGCACTACAAAATGTGCTCATTTTTTCCACATTAAAGAGGCTCGTCCAAGTCTCAGCATTACTCATTTATCATTATTGATTTTTTATGAAAGTCTTTATTGGATTTATGCCAATCAATATTCTGTGTCTTTCTATTGTTCTATAGAAAGAGCTCTTAATCTAAATCAATTTTGTCTCTATAATTTTTATGCTTGCCTTTAATCTAATCGATAGGATTTTAAAACAAAAGCTAACCATACTCATAAGACATATGTTTTACTTTCATTTCGAATATCCATTCCTATCGGTTGGAAAAATTATTTACCAAAAATATTTTTCCCTTTCCACAATTCTTGAGTGAACCTAAGCCAATCACACAATAAGAAAAATATAGAAAAAGCGAATATAAGAGTTTTATATTGGTTCACCATAACTATGGACTACATCCAGTCTTTCGCGACAACATATTCTACTGTGATTTTGGGATAATAAAATAATTTCACAATACCCATAAGGACTGGTTGCCGACTTTGCTTACAACTTTGATATCTTACCTCTGTAACGCTCTGCCAAACACTGCCTCTTAGTCGAAACTGTGCACCACCACTATTTTAAACCAACATAATTATGCACCAACATAATAATTTTAAACTAAGCGAAAAAATCATACTTAAAAGAAATCTTGTCGCAGCGTTGCGTCTCAACACTACGACCCCAACATCTCAACTCAACCAAAAGAACGCCCGCCTCCATTCTTTCATTTCCGTAGCATTGAGACGCTGGTCACTACGTTTCAACACTACGAACATTACAGCGTCCCAGACTTTCGCACGTCCTTTTTTTTTGTGTTATCGCGACAATGTAGCAGCTCTATCCCTAGCGTCGTGGTGCCGCTCCTTCGGCCAAAATGGCTTGTAGCTTCCCAAAGCTTTATTTTTCATCCATCTTCGTCCCGACTCGTTCCAATGTTGATTTGGCTCCATAATCCCAACAATCTTTCTCTTGGAGACAAAACGACAATCTGCCTCCCACTACAACAACAATGTTCCTCATGACTTAGTTCTGACTACACCAAAAGCTTCTAACTGGTCAACATCTTCTTGGCACCAACCAAGACTCAACTCCTACTGCACCGACAGTTTTTAACATCTTCTTGGTACCAACCAAGGCTCCCATCTGTAATTGCCCTTAGACTGAGCAATTCTACGTGGTCTTGTCTCTCCAGACGTTAGAAACACAACCACGTGCTCCCACTCGAACTAAGTGGTCCTTGACGTTTCCTCGATTGAATCCAACGACCTCTAAAGAAAGACTTCCTCTGTGATGACTTGGCACACGAACCAGAGTTTGTTGCCACTCTAGAGACTTCTCCCTCGACCTCAGCACCAACTATAGTCTTTCTCCTCGATGCACTTTTTCGCCTATGCAACTTCATCAGCTCGCTAATCCGTCTGACAACTAGGGCTTTATCTTGACAATCTATTAAACACTTCACTAAGCTATTCCTCTTTCCCTTTCTAGCTTCTACTTCCCAACTGTTGTAACTTAACTGATGACAGATTCTCTTGATCTGTCATGACTGTCAATAATACTAGTTCTTTCACGTCTCCCTTAAACTATCTGCATCTCTGTGCATAATCTGTTTCTCTCATCATCTGACAACGATAAACTTGGTACACCAAAGCTTCTCTGTGGCCAACCACTACCTCAAATCCCCTCGTGAGTTTCCATTTTTTTTAATCAAACCTACGACATGAAGTTTTATCAATGAGAAAGTACGTCTCAAATTTGTAATTACCATCAAGAACAACGATCGAAACACAGTACTAATGCCTTGAATGTGACACTACGAAACAAATTTGAGGGAAGAGGGAAGAGTATTAAATATTGAAGTTACCAAAATATATACTCCATTTTCCTTGAGGACCCTATAGTTTGTCATCAACTGCTTCAATATGTAGAGAGTGATACTTCTGGTACCAATCGAAGGGCCCAGATTCTCTGGAGTAGCGATTGTCCCAGTACCACGGCTCGCCGTACGCCTGCGTAGAAGAAGAAGGGCGTTTCTGTCATTTGGCGAACAATCAGATTTGTTTTCCAAGAAGAAGAAGAAAATAAAGTCTAATTCCCTCTTTATCCCTACTTTAATACACTAAAAGAAAAAGATGCAATTATTCACAAATAATACTCTTTTTTTAAATAACGTTCAAATACTATTTTGATGCCTAACGTCCCAAAAAAAAAAAGAAAAATTATTTTGGTATCTCAACTTTTAACTTTTGTTTATTTGATGTATTTTTAACACGTCAAATTTTTTTATTATTCAATTTTAGTTCATATACTTTTTGAAGCCTCAATTTTAATAACAGTGTTTTTAAAAACAGACTATTTCTGTTTTATTTTTATCTCAATTCTCCAAGATATTTTACTCACTCTGTTTCTACCAACCTTAAATTGCATTGTGTATAAAACCTTTTACCTGATTCATTGGCCAAGCAAGTGAAGTCGAGCCACAACTTTATTAGGCGCTTCTCCTTCATCTCATTCTTCTCACAGGAGTTCTAAACAAACCAATCTTTTCTGGTATGACTCACACGATCCACACGATGAAAGTAAAAAAAAAGTGCCATTTTCGCAAATAATATTCCTTTCCTTGAGACAAGATTTAAATAGCTAACTCATGCATCGGTCTATGACCAAGAGAGATAATGAGTTGGAATTTCTCATTTTTCACTTGTTGTATTAAAAAAAAGGGTTTAAATGTGTCAATCCCATATGTTCTATTAAAAAAAGAAAAATACTATTTATAGATATCCACTTGCAACTTTGGTTTACTTTGTTGTATTTTCAAACATCAATTTTGTCTCTGTTTTTTCAATTTGTATTCATATACTTCACGAAACTGTTAATTTTAATCCCTTTATTTTAAAAAACGGACCATTTTAGTCCCCATATTTTCATTTTTGTCTCAATTCTTTACATTATTATTTTAGCATGACATTTCACTCACTATATTTCTTAAAAAGCAATTCTAAGTTACCTTTCATATAAAATTTATGTAAAAAATTTATAAATAGAGATAAAATTGATTAGTTATCTAGAGTACAACCTTTAAAAAGCGAAAGTTGAAAGTTGAAAATACATTATTCAAAACTCAATATATTTCTATCATAAATTACCTTTCCTATCAAGGTTATGTAAAAATTCTATAAATAGGTACAAAATTTATTACTTCTTTAAGAGAACAAACATGACCTTTTACAGGTAAAAGAAGCGCGCAAAAGTTGTAAGTTGAAAATATAGATAGTATTTAAAACTCAAAATAATGAGCTTAAATTAAAACATTTACCTGATTCATTGGCCACCCAAGCAAAGCCGAGCCACAACCTTATTAGCTTCTCCTTCATCTCATTCTTCTCACAGGAGTGGTAAAAAAACCAATCTTTTCAAGTACGAAGCAACTCACACTATCCAGAAGACGAAAGTAGCATATTCTCCTCCTTCGGCTAGTGAAAATGGCAAAAAACAGGACGTTGAGACCAACAGGAAAACCAATTGCCATACTAATATAAAACCCAAACATTATTTCCTCATCCTCTTCACTTGTAGAAATTACAGGAACCCCATAATTTGGGCTGTGGCCATCCCACGGGCACTTGGTCTTCACAGGAGATCCGCACAGCAAAGGATTGCCTTCATAAATGGAGGGCTCCTCCAATGTCTCAAGATGATTGCCCTTTGGTATGCTGCCCGTCAAATTATTGAACGACAGGTTCAAATGCGACAGGAAATTTAGAGAATTTAGACTTGCAGGAATCTTCCCAGAGAGACGGTTGCATGAGAGATCAAGCGTCTCTAATTGCTGCATGGCTCCAATATTCTCTGGAATGGTACCAACAAAATGATTGTTGGACAAGTTTAGAGTACCCAAATACACAAACTTTGTTATCTCATTTGGAATTTCACCACTCAATTTGTTGCTTGAAAGATCTATTATCAGAACGTATTTGAGTGTGCTACTATATTTCATCTCTCTTCCTTTCATAACCAACATTGTTTTCTCCACGTGGAAGAAAGATGTTGTTGCTCCATTAACTTTGTAGTTGTTCAATCCAGAAATGTCCTTGTCGCCCGAAATGAAAGTTGTCCAATTCGACAAACAACTTGGAATTTTCCCACAAAGATTGTTGTTGGAGAGATCTAATATACGAAGAAAACAAAGATTATTGCACCACTGTGGAGGGATGGTTCCACTGAAAAAATTAGATCTTAGATTTAGCAACCGCAGCTCTGGCATTGCCCATGAAGGGAGGCTTCCGTGGAGTCTATTTCCACTGAGATCAATGCTTCTGAGGAGTGAACAATTCTGCAGAGATTTGGGAATTTCTCCATGGAGATGGTTGTTGCTCAATATTAATGCACTGAGAGATGTCAATAAACCTATTGACTTTGGAATTTTACCATGTAGATTATTGTTGCCTAAGTCAATGATGCATAATGCTCCCAATTTATCCCAATTGTCAAGGAGCTCTCCTGATAGTTGATTGTCTGACAAATCCAATTCTACCAAATGGGGCATCAGATCACCAATGTTTGAAGGTATAGGACCCGACAATGAATTGTTGTGGAGATATAGGAACATTAGTTTAGGATATCTCGGTGGAACTAAATCCTCGGAGAGGTTGTGAGTTCGAGCGATTGATTGTACGTCTTGAGATGTGAATAGGTGAGATAGATTTCCTTTGAGCATGTTGTTGGATAAATCCAAATCAATGATGTGAGAAGAGATTTTAGAAATCCACTCATGAGGCATAAAATCGGAAATACCAACACTAGAGAGAGCGACTAACGTTAGTCGAGTCTGAACTTGAAGCCAGATTGGAAATTGAGGGCCAATTAAGCAATTTTCCAAATAAAGAAACTTAAGTGTGAACGGAGGAATCCAACCATATGATATTTTGAAAACCAAATGTTGATTTTCTTCTTGGGTGATAACAAGTCTCTCTAACTTTGTCAGATGCATCAATTGAGCTTCTGACAGGACTAGTTTCCATGAATTTTTAAAACTTCGAAACTCAATTAGTTCTGAAAGTTGTCCAAAACTTGGAGGTATAGTTCCATTCAAGAAGTTGTATGAGACATCCAATATCTGGAGTGATAACAAATTACCTATTGAATTTGGGAGTGAGCCCCACAACTCATTATTTGAAAGATCAAGAGATCGTAGGATTTCAAATTTCCCTAGTGATTTTGGTATCTCTCCCATCAATCTATTATCACTCAAGTACAAGGTTTCTAAATTATTTTGGGAACAATTTGAGTAACTACCAAAAAACTCATCGAGTTTACCACCAAAGTAGTTGCCACGAAGACTAAGATATCTTAACTGGCAAAGATTTTGTAAAAAGCTTGGTATGTGATCTTCAAATTTACCCAATTCGGTCCCACTCATATCAAGATATTGAAGATTTTTCAATTTCACAAAACTCCGAGGAATTGTACCTTGAAAAGTATTGTATCCAATATCAAGTTTTGAAAGGCTAGTAAGATTAGAGAGCCACGAAAACGAAGAACTTATTGAATTGGATGATAGATCAAGGACTTTGAGGGAAGTCAAATTTAGAAAGCCAATTGAATCATCGAAACTTGAAATACCACAATCTCCTAAGTGTAGTTCTGATAGAGAGGAAAGTGTGTTGACTACATGAATCCAGGTTGTTTGTACACTACTCAAATTCACTTGTCCGATATCAAGGTACTTTAAAGAAGATAGACCAGATAGCCATTGCAAGTTTTCACCGGGCAATCGATATGCGTTTGATCTTTCATTTATTACTAAATTATATGCATGAAGGTCAAGGTAATTCAAATTAGACAAATTTCTTACACTGGGAGGAATCACTCCACCAAAATGTGCAAAAGAGAGATTGAGATACTTCAGACTTTTGAACATCCCAAAAAAATACGGAATTGTAGCACCTTCAAAATTATTGACACTTAAGTCCAAATAATTTAAATGTTTGAGCTCAAGTAGAGAAGGACTTATATCACCTCCCAAACAAGTCCTTCTGAACTCTTGTAGAACTCCCTTGGAATACATCCATTGATAATCAAAATCATCACCATGAAGAATGGAAAAGCCCAATGAATTTCGCAGATCAATCTTCGTAACTTTTCTAGAGATGAAATCACAAGTTATGCCAAGCCACCGACAATAATCATCACCCACCCAAGAAGAAAGCCTACCTGAAAGATCCGATAAGCTTTGTTTGAATTCGATAAGAGCTCTCCTCTCAACAGCAATGTAGTTAGGAGTATGAGTGACATTTGAGGCCAAGCTCAATTTCATGAGTAAACAACATAGCCATAAGCGAGTGGTAAAATGGTTATCCATATATGTGCTTGTATGATCTCTTGGAGTAAATACAAATGATACAGTTATGATATGAAATAATTTTGATATATATATATATATATATATATATAAATTTTCATGCTATTTTTTAAAATGTTGACCTATTATATTATAATTATTAATAAAATCATTAAGGCAAGTGTATGGGCCACAGCATTTTGAATATTCAAAGTCTTTGGATTACTCATTTTTCCACATTTAGAAGTCTTTATTGAAGACTTGAAGTAATCATCTCTTTCAGTAGGTGCAATTCCACAAGACCTATGGTGGTGGCAATAATATTTGATGTTTATCCAATTAAATATCCCAAAAAAACAATAAATGCTTGCGTAAAACTTTGACAATGTGACGAGAATATTTCTAGTGCTCCAATAATATAGAAAATTTTCCAATCACTTGCATAAAATTTTGACAATTGAGACGATAACATTTATAGTGCTCCAATAATATAGAAGATTTTCTTCACACACTATTGACCACTACCACAAATTTAGCCTTCGTTGACATTGATATTTTTTGTTTAGTTTCGAAAAAAAACTTTAGTAGAAGTTTAATTAAAGTTGACGCTATACAGTCTAGGAAATATTGACTTGTTCTAGCCGTCAACGAAAATAGGTATTGTTGACTTCTAATAACCATCGAGAAATTTCGGCTAATTACTAAATGTCACGTCACAAAATTAAAATTACATTTAGGACCAACGATAAAATTACACGTGTCCTAAATCAATTTTAAAATCGACAAATATAATCATGTCACGTGTCTCTCTTATGGTCGTTCGATGAAATCAACTAATTGGATGAAAACTCATAAATAGATTGGGCCCAAACCCACGGCCCATTAAATCCCATGGCCCATACAAGACCCACCAAGCTCTATAAATAGAGGGAGTCACCTCTCATTTGAGAGACTCAGAAAAAAAATCCAAAAGCATTGGGATTCAGAGCGTTCAGAGTCATCTACAACCATTCAGAATACGAAGCAAGAAGACTCTACGAGACTTCAAGAATTCTGAATCTTCTCTTTGCCCAATAACGGACTGAAAAACTTCACAAGCTACAAGCCGAAGATTTCACAAGCCGAATAACTCACGAACTAAAGTACTTCATCAAGCTGCAGATTTCATCAAGCGAGCCGAAGACTTCATCAAGCCACAAACTTCGCCGAGCATCAAGCTTCACAGCCAAAGACTCTAAAGATTCTTCAATACGCTAGAAGCTGAAGGCACAGACTCATTGATTAGAGAACAAGCTCACAAGTCCTCGAATTAAAGTTCACATCTGAGAGAATTAATTAGAGGATCACAATTAGAGATTGTAACAGTACATTCAATACAAATACAAGTTCATTCATTCGAGTTTTCTCCTATTGAATTTCTCGTCGAACAGTATCGACAGTGTATATCCGTCAATGATACTATATTTTAGTTAACATTTAATAAACGTAACTTAAATTCATGTAAATTGTCTACTAAAACTACTAAATTTGATGGGTGTAATTGACAGATTTAGACAATCAATATTAAATTTAATAAAACGATGTCGTGTTGATTCTTTAAAATAATATTTAAAATTTGTTTGATGAATATATGATTTTTTTAATTCATAATTAAAATTAAAATATTGTTATTTAAATTATGGCATGATTTTTTTTTTTTTTGAAATTAAAGGTAGCCAACTTAATTTAATGGTTTGGAAAAAAAAACACTTCATCTATATTAAATTAGAACTAGTTAGGTTTACCTTTAACTTTTTTACAAATTAAAATTTTGAATTTTGTATAGGGATTTTTTAATTAAATCTTAAAGTTTTGGAATTTTAATTTCTTTTATTTATTTGATTCTTGACCAATTTTTAAAGAATATTAATACACTAAGAGATGTCAACAAACCTATTGTCTTTGGGATTTTCTCAGAGATTATTGTAGCCCAAATCAATGATACATAGTGCTTCCAATTTTGTGAGAAGTTGATTGTTTGACACATAAAAAACTTGAAGATGTATCTTATTTTTTGAATGGATATCAATGGAATCGTACCATGAAAGATGATTTTGTGAGAAGTCTAGCTATTTCTTCCCATTTGGGCCTCAAATCACTAATGTTTGAGGGTATAGGACCCACAATAAATTTCTTTGGAGACAATAGAGCTTGTAGTGTAGGATATCTTGACCAACTTCTTAAAGAGATTGTGACTTCGATCAATTGATTATATTGTATGACGTACGTCTTGAGCAGTGAAGATGTGAGAACTTTTCCTTATTGTTTTTTGACAAATCCAAGTACATGATATTGAGAAGATATCTCCGAAATCCACTCATATGGTAAAAAATCAAAAATTCCAACATTAGAGAGAGTGATTGCAATTAGTCGAGTTTGAACTTGAAGCCAAATGGAAAATTGAGGAACAAAGCAATTTTGCAAATATATATATATATATATATATATATATATATATATATATATATATATATATATATATAGCCTGAAAGGAGGAATCCAACCTAATTTGTCCAAAAAAAACTTGAAGGTATATAGTTCCCTTCCAGAGGTTATTTGTGACAACTAGCATCTGTAATAATGACAAGTTACCTATTGAATTTAAGTAGGAGTGAACCCCACAACTCATTATGTGAAAGATCAAGAGATCGTAGATTTTCAAATGTTTCTAGTGAATTTGATATCTCTACCACCCATATATTATATCTCAAGTACGTCCAAGGTTTCCAACTTAATTATTTTGGGAACAACTTGAAGAACTACCCAAAAACTCATCAAGTTTACCACCAAAATAGTTTCTACGAAGCTAATATATCGTAACTTCAAAGATTATGTAAAAAGCTTGGTATTTAATCTTCAACTTTACCTAATTTGGTCTTGCTCATATCAAGATATTGAAGATTTTTCAATTTCACAAAATCCCAAGGAAAAATGGTACCTTGAAAAGTATTGAAGCGTACATCAAGTATTGTAAGGCTAGTAAGATTAGATAGCCACAAAAACGAAGAACTTATTGAATTCAATGATATATTAAGGACTTTGAGGGAAGTGAAATTCAAAAAACTAATTGGATTATCGTAATTTGAAATATAACCGGTAGTTGTGATAAAGAAGAAAGTTTGTTGACTACATCAATCCAAGTTAAACAACGCTCAAATTCACCAATCCAATATCAAGGTACTTTAAAAAAGATAGAACTGAAAGTCATTTTGCAAGTTTCCATCGGTAAATCTCTATATGCTTTTGATCTTTTGCTTATTAACAAATTATATGCATGATGGTCTAGAAAATTCAAATTAGACAGATTTTCAAGATTGGGAGAATCACTCCACTAAAATTTGCAAAGAGAGATTGAGAAACTTTAGACTTTTGAGCATCGTCCCAAATAAATATGAAATTGGAGTATTTTGCTTCAGAATTGCAGACATTTAAATCCAAATAAGTTAAATGTTTGAGTTTACCTCCCAAACAAGTCCTAGCATCCTTGGAATGTATCGTTTATAACCAATATAATCATCATAAAAAATGGTCGAGTCCAATAAGTTTCGCAAATCAATCTTTATAACTTTTCTAGAGATGAAATCACAAGTTATGTCAAGTCATTGACAACAATTATCACCCACCCAAAAAGAAAGCCTAACTGAAGGATCCGATAAGTTTTGTTTGAAAAATCGATATAAGAGCTCTCCTCTTCGTAGTTGATTGCATGAGTGACATTTGAGGCCGAACTCAAGTCATACCAGAACTAAGAACTAAAAAATTATTGAAGTGAGTTGTGAAATGGCTATTCATATATGCTTGCTCCGATTGGCAGAGAGCTAGTACAAATGATACGTTGATTGTGAGATAAAATGATTTTGATATTTATATATGTACATAAATTTTCATGCTTTTTTTAAATTTATAAAAAAAAATCGACCTATTTATTATAATTATTAAAAAAAATTATTAACTTTCACGCGGCAAAAGGTGCTCATTTTTCCACAATGGAGAGGTTCATGCATGGGTCCAGACCACACTGATTCCAAGTCTTTGCATGACCATTTTTTCAATATTTAGAAATCTTTAATTATTCCACAAGACTTAAAGTCGTCGCAATAATGTTTGTTGTTTATTCAATTACATGACCCAAACAACCATAAATGCTTACTTTGACAATGAGATGACAACATTTCTAATACTTTGATAATATAAAAAAAAATTTTACATATCACTTTCGTACACTAGCAACGTATAAGCTTTTGAGAATAACAAGAAATTCACAAACAAAAAGAATAGGTCAAGTGATTATATGTGTCTACGTATGAAATAAAGAGAGTAGGTACTCGATGAGAGTACTAGATATTTTGTTACAAGATTATTATGAATGATACAATAAAAATACAAAAAAATTACCGACTAACACATTTCTCACAAAGACAGAGCAAGTACCTTTCTTAGAAAATAGTAAAATTTGTATGTGATAACTTTTTGTATATATACTGTTGATGCAGAAATTTGGCCCTTCAAGATTCGTCAAATTCGCACCAATCTTATCTCCAAGAATAAAAAGGGATCGAAACCTGCAAAACCAAACAACACTAAGCATATCTTTTTAAAGTTTAGCTTGCTCTTCTATTTATAGAGGTTCAACTCTAGCTTTTTTGGGCCTAGGTATTTTGTTGAGGGGCTAGATGTCGAATTCAGGGTACATCGGCCTATAGTAAGATTTTACCAAGGTTGAAGTAGGTTCAGGCTATCAGATGAACATTGTCAAAGTTCTCGGGCGATCAGCCGAGACCTGGTCGGTAAGGCCAAGTCATGCCCTGGACCTGGTCGTGGTCTAGATCTAGTTCTGCCTTGTATTTGGCTCATGGTCATGTCTTGTATGCATGCCTTGGACCTGGTCATACACTGGTGGTCATACCATAAATTTAAATTTAAGTGAGATAAAACAATCTTTTAATTTATATTTTGGAACCAATTAGAAATTGGGGAACAAAAAAAAGAAATAGCGGAACATTACCGAACTAGCCTTTTAACCGACACTAAACGAGAAAACTAAATGGGTAGTAAGAAGCTTTTAGAATGCAAGACATTTTGTTTTAGAAGAAAAAACTGTTGCATATGTGGAGACTACTCATTGTTGCTCCTAGAAATGGAGAGAACTTTCTCCAAATTCCTAGGGAATAAATCCACTTCCTGTAAAAAAACATATCTATCAAATAAACTAAAAGCAGACTGCAGCTAACATCAACTTCAGACACCCATAAAGATGTTCACTTGACATAAGAAACCATTCAACTTGAGAAATAGAACCTGAAAAGGAAAAAAATAATAATAATAATAATAAAGTCCACTTTTCTAACAGGTGCATGCCCCCAGCTCTTTCAACAGCAACATCAATGTTGCGATTTACCTCAAAACTCTTTCAAGGCTGCATCTTCATTATTTACAAACTAAAATTAAGTCTTCTCCATCGGCAATAAATTTATGTTGAAAAGATGAACATATGAAAGCACCAAACACTCTCGCCAATGGAGACTCTAGGGCCCCTGCAAACAGAGCAAATGTTGAAAGGAGAGAAAATCAGAAAACAACAAACTTATGATTTGGATTTGAGAACCATTTACCTGATTCAGTTAGCTTCTTCTCCATCTCATTCTTCTCACTGGATCAGTTGTAAAAAACCAATCTTTTCCAGTATGAAGTAGCTCACACGATCCACAACACGAAAGTAGCATATTCTCCTCCTCTGGCATGTGAAGATGGCAAAAAACAGGACGTTGAGACCAACAGGAAAACCAATTGCCATACTAATATAAAACCCAAACATTACTATTTCCGAATCATCCTCCTCCTCCCCATCCTCCTCCTCCCCAGCATCCCATGGGCACTTGGTATGGACAAGAGATCCACATAGATAAGGATTGCCTTCATAAATGGAGGGGTCTTCCAGTGTTTGAAGATGATTGCCCTTTGGTATGCTGCCCGTCAAATTATTGAATGACAGGTTCAGATGTGCCAAGAAATCTAGCGAACTTAGACTTGCAGGAATGTTTCCAGAGAGATGGTTGCAGGAGAGATCAAGCGTCTCTAATCGTTTCATGCCTCCAATATTTTCTGGAATGGTACCAACAAAATGATTGTTGGACAAGTTTAGAGTACCCAGAGAGACGAACTTTGTTATCTCATTTGGAATTTCACCACTCAATTTGTTGCTTGAAAGATCTATTGTCATAACATATTCGAGTGTGGTACTGTATTCCATCTCTCTTCCTTTCATAACCAACATTGTTTTCTCTTCGTGCTTGGAATATAGTGTAGCTCCGCCACTAATCTTATAGTAGTGCAATCCAAGAATATCGTAGGGGCCAGAAATGAAAGCTGTCCAATTGGCCAAACAACTTGGAACTTCCCCCCAAAGATTATTGTTGGAGAGATCTAATATATGAAGCAAAGAAATATTGCACCACTGTCTCGGGATAGTTCCACTAAAAAGGTTAGATCGTAGATTTAGCAATCTCAACTCTGGCATTGCCCATGAAGGGAGGCTTCCGTAGAGCCTATTTCCACTGAGATCAATGCTTTTAAGGTCTGAGCAATTGTGGAGAGATTTTGGAATTTCTCCATGGAGATGGTTGTTCCTCAATATTAATTCGGTGAGAGATGTCATCAAAGCTATTGACTTTGGAATTTGACCATGTAGATTATTGTTGCCCAAATCAATGATACATAATGCTCTCAATTTATCCCAATCGTCAACCAGCTCCCCTGAAAGTTGATTGTCTGATACAGAAAAAACTTGAAGATATCTCATTTTGGACATTGATGGAATCGTACCATGGAGATGATTTTGTGACAAATCCATTTCTACCAAATGGGGCATCAAATCACCAATGTTTGAGGGTATAGGACCCCACAATAAATTGTTTTGAAGACGTAGGATCCGTAGATTAGGATATCTTAGTGAGATTGAATCCTCAAGATTGTGACTTGCAGCAATTGATTGTACGTCTTGAGGCGTGAAAATGTGAGATAACTCTCCCTTGAACAAGTTGTTGGACAAATCCAAGCTAATGATGTGAGAAGATATCTTAGAAATCCACTTATGTGGTATAAAATCAGAAATTCCAATATTAGAGAGACTGACGATAGTTAGTCGAGTTTGAACTTGAAGCCAAACTGGAAATTGAGGGCCAACAAAGCAATTTTGCAAAGAAAGAAACTTAAGCTTAAAAGGAGGAATCCAACCATGTGATATGTTGAAAATCAGATGTTGATGTTGATTTTCTTCTTGGGTGATAATAATTTTTTCCAACTTTGTCAGATTCATCAATTGAGTTTCTGTTATGATTGATTTCCATGAATTTCCACGACTCTCAAACATAACTAATTCTGAAAGTTGTCCAAAACTTGGAGGTAGAGTTCCATTCAAGTTGTTAAATGAGACCTCCAATATTTGCAATAATGACAAATTATTTATAGAATTTGGGAGTGAACCCCACAACTCATTTTCTGAAAGATCAAGAGATCGCAGGTTTTCAAATGTCCCTAATGAATTTGGTATCTCTCCCACCAATCTATTATCACTCAAGTCCAAGGTTTCCAACTTATTCCGGGAACAATTAGGAGAACTACCAAAAAACTCATCGAGTTTACCACCAAAGTAGTTGCCCTGAAGACTAAGATATTTTAACCGGCAAAGATTTCGTAAAAAGTTTGGTATGTGATCTTCAACTTTATCAAATCTGGTCACGCTCATGTCAAAATATTGAAGATTTTTCAATTTCACAAAATTTTGGGTAATTGTACCTTGAAAAGTATTATATCTTATATCAAGTTTTGTAAGGCTAGTAAGATTAGATAGCCATGAAAACGAAGAACTTATTAAATTGAACGATAGATCAAGAACCTTCAGGGAAGTGAAATTTAGAAAGCCAATTGAATCATCGAAACTTGAAATACCACAACCACTTAGGTGTAGTTCTGACAAAGAAGAGAATGTATTGACTACATGAATCCAAGTTGCTTGTACATTACTCAAATTCACTTGTCCAATATCAAGGTACTTTAAAGAAGATAGACCTGAGAGCCATTGCAAGTCTCCATTACGAGACAATCGAGATGACAATGATATTTCATCTATCAGTAAATTATTATATGATTGAATGTCTAGATAATTCAAATTTGACAAGTTCCCTAGCTGAGAGGGAATCACCCCACCAAAATTTGCAGAAGAGAGATTGAGATACCTCAAGTTCTTAAGCTTCCCAAAAAAATATGGAATTGGAGCACCTTCAAAATTATTGAGACTCAAGTCCAAATAATTTAAATGTTTGAGCTCAAGTAGAGAATGACTTATATTACCTCCCAGACAAGTTCTTTTGTACTCTTGTATTACGGCAATCTCGTTAAATACTGGCCAATCATAATCAGAATCATAATAACGAGAATAGAAAATGGTGAAACCCAACGAGTTTCGCAGATCAATCTTCGTGACTTTTCCAGTGATGAAATCACAAGTTATGCCAGGCCATTGACAACAATTTCCACCCATCCAAGAAGAAAGCTTACTTGAAGGATCCAATAAGCTTTGTTTGAAATCAATAAGAGCTCTCCTCTCAGCAGCAATGCAGTTGACAGTATGTGTGACATTTGAAGCCGAGCTCAATTTCATGAGTAAACAACATAGCCATACGAGAACCAAAGAATTGACGACGCGAGTTGTGAAATGGTTATCCATATATGCTTGCTCCGATGATCAGAGAGCAAATACAAATGATATATACACATATACAAATTTATTTATATATAAAAAAATGGACCTATTATATTATAATTATCAAAAAATCATTAAGTTTCACACAAAAGGTTCTCATTTTTCCACATTGCAGAGGCTCATGTATGGACCACACCATATTGAATATTCCAAGTCTTTATTGGCTTTATTGAAGACTTGAAGTAGTCACGTTTTAGTAGCTGCAATTCCACAAGACCTAAAGTCGTCGCAAATAATGTTTGATGTTGACCCAATTACGTACCCCAAACAACAATAAATGAGAACATTTCTAATGCTCCAATAATATGGAAATTTTTAGATGTTTTAGTATTATAAAATTTCTAACAATTATCAACTAACACATTTCTCACCATCAAAGACGAATCAAGTAATCTCCTTGGAAATTTCGTCATATTTTCTATTGACATATCCATGTTTTCATGGGTTCGACATCGACATGGGTAAATCGACATTTCTATCATAGTACAACAAAATCAACAAAATGTAACTAATATATACATAATATTAATATTAATTATTTTTAACTAATTTAGAAATAGGAAAATGCTTATTTTTTAATTTAAATGTTTTTTACGATTTTTTTAAATTTATAACATTTACAGAAATATCCATTGATATCACATTTTATCGATATCGATATTTTATGAAATTGACACCTCAATATTTTCATCGAAAATCTTAATATTTTATGCATATTTTTAAAATTATGACAAATTAAACGAGGGACAACCTCTCCTTTCCTTGCACTCACAAGTCACAACCATACTTTTTTTCCTTTTTTCTTTTTTAATAGCAAAAGTATTGTAATATTGAATCATCTCTAATGGAGTGGGACAAGATGGATTCTTATCTCACACGTTACAATTGTCAATTTTGTTAACCCTCTGTTTGGCATCAAGAAAGTTGATGAAATGATTTTAAATTTCGTGATTTGTAATCCGAGAAATGATTTTAAATTATTTCTCTTGTTTGGAACGAGAATGATTTGAAACGAATTAAATTAGATTTCTTTGTTCGGATGTTAACCGAAAATGAAAAAAAAATTCTGATTTAAGCTTTTATTAATAAATCTATTAATTAGAAATTAAAATATGACGAGGTTAAATAGGTAATTTACTTCAAAAGTCTATTCTGATCTGAAATTTTTTTTACGTAAAAATAGGATTTGAAATCCAATAATATTTCAAAATCATGTGCTACAGTGGAATTCATTTGAAATCTATCATGATTTTGAATTCCTTCAAAATCTGAAGTACCAAATAGAGCATAAATGAGCATGAGTATCAAAATCTAGAGATTTACAAGGGTGGTGATATTATTTTTCTCCTTTTATATTTTAAAATTTATGTTTACATAGTAAAAATTTTATTTATTTATTTTAGTAACTAAATGTAGTTCTTTGGAACAGAACTTTCAGAATTCAATTAATTCAAATAAATCTTCGAAATCTGGTGAATAAATTATTAAAAAAATCCCAAACTTTAGATTACAAATACGATACTCATAAGACATCTGTTTTACTTTTATTGTGGATTAAACAATTTCATTAAGACATATATCATCGTACTAAAAGCTAGATGTTCGAATATCAACTCCTACTCATAGTTAGAACTCAATAAATAAATCGGTCAGACCAATTTGGTTAGAAAACTTTATACTGACACCTTGAACTAAATTCAAACAACACAAATGTAGCCGAGTTAAACAACAATAATGGGTGAACCATTATTTTTAGAAGTCCTTAAAAACATTTGTTTTTTCAAACCTCTAAACCATTTCTAAAAATTTTGATCAAATAAGTTGTGTTGTGTTTCAAGCCATAACTCTCACGTGGTACACATAAAACTTAGAATTTGCCCAGGAATAAAATAACCCAAGAGGTTCAATAAGAAAAGAATCATATCCCTATTCCAGATTTGGAAGATAAGATCCAAGGCGAAGATTCTGAGTCGTGCAAATGATTGAGAAATTTCCAAACCTTTTTTAGTAGTGGGAGATTCGAACTTATGACTTCTTAGTCAAAGACAGATGTCAATTACCACTGAACTAAACTCATGTTGGCGAAAAATTCCCAAGTTTTTGAATCTCCAGACCTGTAATTCAAAAATCTCAAAGGATTTAAGCAAAAGAGTGGATGGATCGTTTAACTTAATTTTCAACCACTATCCCTTTCTCCAAACAGCAACTTTATCTCAGTAAAACTCCATGATCCACTATTCTACAAAATTCTTCAAAGCAAACCCACTGTAGTCTACATTTTGGGTGGGGGCAGAAATAACACCTTAAAACGAAATTGCTAGCCTGGTCGATACCAATCTGGTACATTGCAATTACAAAGGAGCAACTATTTCTTCTTTCTTCCGCCCTTGCCAGATTTTGAAGGTCCTGCAGTTGACGATGATGCGGGCTCCTGTTTCTTTGTCCTCCCGGGATGTCTAGGAACAAGTTCAGCTATACGAAGCATCATTTGTTTTCCTGTAATATAGTCAGAAGATTGTTGTGTAAAATTGCAATCATTAGGCACATGCTGGGGTACTTTAACTCACAGTAAAAACTGAATGGGGAGTAAGAAGCTTTTACAATGCAAGACATTATCTTTTAGAAGAAAGTTAGGCAAACTGTTGCATGTGTCGGACAATTATCATAACTACTTGAACTGGCATTAGGACCTTGTTGCTCTTAGAAATGGAGAAAAGTTTTCCAAAAACCTTGGTAATATTTGGGCTAATTGGAGGCTATTTCTGTCAATTTCCCTTAGCAGTGGGCCAAGGCTCCCCCCCTCTATTGTGTGTGGTGACTGCGTGTATATTTCATTATATTAAGGAAATGATAAGTTTCTTAGTAGAAACGAAAAAGTATAGGAAATGTGAAAATATAATCAGATGAATGATCATTTCTCTACCTGATGAAGATTAATAGTTTTAGAGTAATCATACATCCACCTGAAAGGCATTGTTCTTGAAGAATGAGTGATGAAGCCACAAATTATCACTCTAAGTCAGTTGATTGATCTGATGAAAGTTAGTATGGGAAGGCTCAAAATCAAAGGGGCAAGGCAGAAAAGGAAAAAAAAACATTGTGGGAATTTGCTCCATTCCTAACCCAAAGAAAGTTGTGTTGTTCCTTTATGACAAATCTCATTTATGTTTATAAATCTACTTCATGTAAAAGACATACAGTAAAACAATTTTTAATACATGCCAAAATCCAACGACCTACTATCCTATCCTGCAACTTTAGATATAAATGTATTTCTTTTTCCAAGGGATGAAAAGGGTGCAGAGAGACAAGCAGAAGCCTTACTGGAAGTAATAGCTGGATTGGACAGGGTTCCATCCTCCTTTTTCAGCAGAACCCGCACTCTCCCTCTTTGCATAAAATCTCGAGGGTAAGCTTTATCAATCTGCAGGTATGCTGTTAATATAAATTAACACATTCTATCAACTATCACGGGTTCTTTAAACTCAATGCAAGCTTCAGCTAAATTCAACACAAACAGGCAGCAGGGGAAACAAAAATTAATAGGAAGAGAAGATCTTTATCAATGTCAGATCGTTGCCAAAAACCTCGATTGCAAAAGGCAGTTTGAGATGACTGCAGCAATCCCCAATCTCAGCACACGTAGGATTCTCACATGCTTTGCTAACACCTATACGTCTTCCTTCAGCTATTGTCTTCTTTGAATTAATATAGATGGGATACAATACTACCCATCTCTTTATGTTGGGAACTTCTCCATCCATGTTCCGACCAAATTCCTACAATAACACATAAAAGATACCTATCATAATGCCCATTATTTTAATATAGGGCAAGACGAAAAACATTCTTCAGACACTCATAAAAAACGTTCACTTGACAAGAAACCATTCAGCTCGATTTAGTTTTTGGTTATTTGACTACCTGATGCAGACTAAAATTGGGCCTTTGAATTGAAAACTTGTGTGAGATTTCTGGTTTTGGGTCTTAAATATCAATAATAATGGACGGTTAAATTTCAGATTTAAGCTGCAGTATAATAGAGGCAGGTACTCATCTGTGGCAAGAGGTGAGGCGCCACACATAATCAGTTTGTTCTCATGGATTGAGCTAAAACTCGTGTAGAAAGAGAATAATATGCAACTCATTAGCACTAACCCAAATTTGTTATCCATTTTCTTTTTCTTTAACTATTTTACCATTTTAATTTTTTTCTTGGTAAGAAACAAAACTTTTCATTGATAAAATGAAAAAAATATCTTTTACATATCATAAAATTACTTATGCATATGTCTATTTTAATTTCGTTTCCTACCATAACCTTTTTGGGTTCTTTTACTCTCAATATTTTAAGAATGGAAATGTAGGACACCTTAATATTCTAAAATTTGAAGCCATCTGAGAACGGAATCTAATGCCTACAAAACAGACATTAAAGATCACTACATTATGCACCACCTAAAACAATAAAAGTTGAAAAATTAGCAGCATGCCATTCAATAAAAACAATAACTTCTCGTTAAATGTTTTTCTGTATACTAAACATAAAAATGTTCAAATGGTTCATCTATGGAAAATAAAGGGGGGCCAAAATTCAAAGAAAAGGTGAAACTGAGAGTTGAGACAAAGGCAAGAAAAAGCTGAAATAAACAAACCATCTAATAGCCCCCACATTTTCAAATACATTGTAAAACATGACGAGAGAAATTCATCAACAATCCATTTCCATTAATTAAATCTGACCAAAGAAATTTTCTGCAAGAGCCATTTGTAAGGGAATTTGGTTTAAAGAAAACAAGATGAAGTTCGGATTTAATTTTGAGTTCCCCATATATGAGTTCAAATTTGGCCCAATTTTGATTGTCTAGAGAAGAATGAATCCACCATTTGAAGATTCCTGCTGTTAGGATCTTAATAATAGTTCGGAGTAAAAATGTGCAAAATTTTTAAGGGTTGGGTAATTAATATTGAAAGAATTAAAAAACAAAAACAAAAAACTGCAGAATGTTTGGTTGAAAGCAAAAATCTGAAAAGGATTCTGATTGCAGAGGCCCCAATGCTACTATCACATTCTGGCAATTAGAAAGCACCAAGTGGAAAAAGCTTTCAACAACTTAACAAATTCCTCGTTGGGAAGAACTCATTAATCTGATCCACAATCCTCATATGCTACGCCAATTACTAACTATGAGATTCAGTGGAAGAAAAGATAAACAATCCCAAAGCAGATGCAAACATCCCAATGCACAAAATCGTCTGAAGCAAGCTACATACCTGATAAACCAAGAATTAAGTGATTAAGAATGCCAAATCGGGTCGCCAAACAGAGATCTGATTCTCTGTTCTCGCCGGACCGCAACAATGGGCGAAATTGAGCGACAGAGGAAAAAAAAGGAGAATCGGGAAATGGGGGAGGCCGAAGTCGCAAGGGATTTTTTTCTTCCCCCTGAAAATCGAAGCTTTCGTGAAATTTACAAAAAGGCCACTGAAATTTTCCAGGAAGATAAAGACTTCCGTTGGAATTTACAAAAATGCCACTGCTTTTTCCGGGAAAATGAATATTTACATTTAAATTAAAAAATTGCCACTGATTTCAATATTTGCCCCAATGGTCCCTATTTTGCACTTCTCTCTCTAATTGCTCTCGAACTATCTCAGGGCTTCTCTCTTGATTTCAATCTCCCTCGAGGTTTGTTCTTAATTTCTGCTTTTTTCCACTTGCTGCTGTAATTTGTTGCTATATTCTAGGTCATGTTTGTTTTGGTTTTTGCCGCCTGCTTTAGTGTGATGTACTCTGCTCTAGTTGCTGCTCAAGTGGTTATTTTTTGGAGTATTAGATTCTATTAGGCTTTTGTCGGATTGATGGATCTAACAATATTTTTCTGAAGTTATCTGAGTAATTATTCATTTTGAGGTATTTGACAATTCGTTTGAAATTCTCTTAATTTGATGGAGATATGACTCGCGTGCTGAAATTGTGGAAGTCAATGTTAACAGATATTTGCAAATGTGCTAAAGTTTTAGAAATTTTTAGTTTCTGTTATTGGAGTTGCCTCTGTTTACTCTCGTTGGTTGCAATTGGATTCCGCTTGATGATTATGTATTCAATATTGCAATGCGCTGAAGTTCTTCATGAATATTGATTTGAAATTTAAAATACCACGCCCCAAGTGGCAGCATGGTTGGCGAGGGTTTAAAAGTCTCAAGCTGTTTAGCCTTCCGGTGAACTTAATATCAAAAACCCTTGATGTCTCCCAGGTCTAATCCCTGGGGTAGGCGCGAGTGTCCTTAGGTATAGGGGAGGAAAGCTTTAACTCTCGGTTATAAAAAGAAAAAAAATAAAATAAAATCACTTGCAGTTATAATTTAGCATCTGATTCTCTTCTGTGAATGAAGTTTATGTTTCCAGGAATGCATAAATGGAGATATTCTTTTCCCCTTTTTATTAGTTCTACGTTGTTTAGGAGAAGAATTCTTGTAGGCAATATTTCTTCTAAAAGATGGTGTAAGATCAATATTGTAGTATTTTGATTTCTCTGTTTAGGTTCATAAAAATGTTATTTCAAGATCCAATCTCAAAAGAACAGCCAGTTGCCAGTCTACCAAGTAGCAATAACAGTGACGGCCTTGATGATGGTGATGTTCGAGTTACTTGCTTCAGTGAAGCCATAAATGATGTCCCCCTCCATTTTCAGATAATTTGTCTCTCCAAACAGGTATTCCATGGCTTTTCTTTCTAAACCTTCCCTTAGATTTTTTCTGTTTAGTTACCTTTTCAGGACAGTTCAATTGTTAGGAATCAGCGTGTTAAACATTTAAGCCCTGAGTTTCTTGATGTTATTTTTTGTCTTCTTATTTGATTCTTTTTAATATGTAGATATATGCATGGATTGGTTACAACTCTGCAAAATTTGGAAATTTGTATGCAGCTGCCCCCACACGGCCTGTAAGTTGCTCTTTCTTCCAGAAGCACTTTAAAGTGCTTTAAATTGGCTAAAAAACACTTTCTATCATTCCAAAAGTCGTATCAAAATCATCCCAACTTTTTGCAATTTTCTTTTGTATTTTCTGTTCCAGCTTCCTCATCTTTTCCTCTCTTCCGAGTTCCAGTTGTTAAATGTATTGTATCAGTGCATAATCCTGAATCCTGATCACATAATCATTAATATTTTTCAACCGGAATTTTGCAGAACAATACAGTGAGTGTTACTTCCATACTTGGAGGTTCATCTGATAATACAGGATCGAGCATGGCTCGTCGATTAGGTAATATCTGAATTGAGTTTTGACCTTTGAATACTTGAGATTTATCTCTTGTCTTAGTCCTACTGATACATTTGTTTTCTCTTTCCCTAGTGTTAAAGACCGGTCTAAATATAATCTTGGCTAGCAATATTCCGAAGAACAGCCCCATGATCGAGGTTTGATGACCCTCCTCTTCCTCCCTATTTTCTTATTTGACAAACAATGCATGAGATGATTGGTCTATGAAAGAATTATGTTGGAATATTTAGTGCTCATTTAATAACCATTCTGTTTTTAGAAAAATATACTTATTTACTCACGGTATATTAGCTTTGTTATCTACTTTAATAACGTTTTCAAATTTAAGTCAAAGGTAAAAAGCTAAGTTGCGGTTTAATGACTATTTCGTTTTTTATTTTCTGTTTTTGGAAATTAAGCTTATAAACACTACTTTCACCTACTTGTTTCTTTGTTTTTGTGATTTACTTTTTAAAACTATTTTTAAAATCTAAGTCAAAATTTTGAAAACTAAAAAAATATATATGTTTTAAAAACTTGTTATTATTTTTGAAATTTGGCTAAGAATTCCAATATTTTTAAGATAGGTGAAAAAATATATTAAAGAAATTGTGAGAAACCAATTATAATTTTTAAAAGCTGAAAACTAAAAACGAAATTGAGACCTAAAAATCCAGTATTCAAAAACTTAGGCTTTGTTTCTCAATTTAGTTAAGAAATTAAAATTATTTTAAGGTGAAAAATAAAACAAATAAATTACAACGAAATCAGTACAATTTTAAAAACAAAAAATTAAGGCTCAATTTGATAATAATTTCGATTTTAGTTTTAAAAATTAGGCTTGTTTCTTCACAGTTTATTTATTGTATTTCTACCTTTCCAAACCACATTTGACTTATTAGTCAAATTTCAAAATCAATAACAAATTACTTAAACATTACTTCTTTAAGTTTTCAAAATCTATCACATTTGACTTATTAGTCAAATTTCAAAATCAATAACAAATTACTTAAACATTACTTCTTTAAGTTTTCAAAATCTGGCATAACATAGTAGTACATATACACATATGTAATAGTATTGTCTACAAGCTTAATTTTGAAAAACAGAATGATTATCAAATGAAACTTAAATTGTTATTGAAGGGGCTCTCAAGTGTTAGTTACCTACGTATGTGTTATTTTTGTTTCTATCATTTAGGTAGCTGCTGAAAAGATGTTGGTACAAAAGCTGGTCAGTTTAGGGTACGTTAGACCTAAATCAGAAGGGCCATCTACATAATTGGTACCCAAATATTAGTCTTCAGACGTTTCTGAGTACTCTTTCACTTCATTTCTTTTTCCATTCCATAACTGTACGTTAGAAATTCCGCTCTTAACATTATGCTCGTTGCCTATCTCGTTAATCTTAGAGAGGCTTCGCCCACACCCAAAGTCAGCTCTAGAAGATAACAAGGGTTTTAAGGTATTAAGTTTTCAACTTTCGAACTCGAACTTGAGGCTTCAAACTAGGATTTTAGAGAAGAGGAGGATATCTCCAAACATTCCAAATCCTTACTATCATGGATACTCCTTGAGGGTTCTCTTTTACTTCATCTTGCTTACAAGATACTAATTGAGAATATTATTGATGTTTTGTTATTATATAAACCAATAGTTGAATAGGGAATGAAGGTGTATACATTGTACATTTTCCTCTAATTTCCAATTGGAAGTAGTACTTCGAGGATGAAATATAATACAAGGGTGAGGAATTACGTTCAATTTCCATACATATGTCTCTTGGATCCGTGTTGTTTGGGAATGATTTTAGCAAAATAGGAAATTGATTTTGTGAAAGTAATTTTTATATAATTATTTTAATGTTTGGTTACATATTTTTATATAGTTAAAAATAATTTTGAATTATTAATATTCAAAGGTTAAGAGGAAATTTGATAAAATTTTTAGAGAGAAAAAAGTTGAAACAAAAATGTTAGAGTGGAATTTCAAAGAATGAGAGACAAAAATTTTAGAGATGAGAACTAAAAATTTAAAGAGAGATTAGAAAAATTCTAGAGAAAAATTAGAGAGAGTAAACAAAATTGAAGATAAATAAAGTTAGAGAGTAATAAAAATTCAAAATTTAAGGTGAAAGTAAGGCTAATAGAAAGATGATTTTGAAAATTAAAACAATGACAATTTTAAAAATTATTTTTCTATTAATTTTTTGGTAAACAAATCCCCTGGAGAATACTCTCTAAGTGATTAATCGGGAATCACTTGAAGTGATTTGAGAGTTTTTCAAAATCATTTATGAATCTTTGCCAAACATTTTATTATAAAATAGAAGTAATTTTGGTGATTTGAGAATTTTTCAAAATCATTTATGAGTCTTTGCCAAACATTTTATTATAAAATAGAAGTAATTTTGGTACGAGTAAAAGTAATTTTAGGCATATCAAAATCACTCTCAACATGTTTTTAGTCTTTTATTAACGTTCATTAGCCTTTTTTTAGTACAACATATGAGGATAGGGATTCAAACTTACGATCTTTTGGTCTGAGAGATAAGTGTCTTAACCTGCTAAATTATATTTGGGGTCACAAGTAATAATAAATAAATATTCCAAGTTCGTCTCCACAGGGACTAGTTTTCTTTTAAAAATGAATTTGTAAGCAATTGGGTTTGGGATAAAAATTTGGTAAATATGTTAGGAAACACAATTAAAAAGTCAACCCCTACTAAGATTTGGTTCTACAAGATGAATTTTTAGAAGCTTAGGCTAGTGTTTAGATATGTCTATGCAACTCTAGAATCCTAAATAGATCAAATCTCAACTTACGTTTAACGGGTAGGAGAGCCTATGTCTAGGATCTTGTTTAGTTCTTATTTCTAAGTAACTTTCCGTTTTACCTTGATAAAATTCATTTGACTCCAACCTTTTCATAATTAAATTCAAACTAATGTGATTTAAACAAGTGGCCAACAAGAAAATCAACTAGAATAATTATATCAATCAAGATAAGCAAAGAGAGCGTGAAACGCCGTGTCACTTATAGATGTAATTTAAAATAGATTAACTAAACATCTGTAGGAGGGTTGAATAATTAATTTAGCTACTCATGAAAATGAAAGAAATGAAAATACAAGAGAATATAATAAAAGAATGCATTTTAATTAGAAGTGGAAAGAAAGTACAAAATGGAACAAGTTGAATTGCAATAAATAAACAAAGGAAAATTGTAGAAAAATTAATTGAATAACAAAACTTAAAAACTAAAGTCGATAACAAAGTAGAAAGGAAAGAACTAAAGCATGAAAAATGAGATGTCTTTGAACTGATGCTTGGAAGCTCATTTTATAGGCCATAGAGGTAATAAGATGTTGAGGAATGCATGGGAGGTTGGAACCAAATGAGGTTGTAGAGATTTTAGGAACTAATAACAAATCTTGGACCAATTACTTGGTCAAAAGTTATTATTCTCGTTTTGACAATCTAGGCATCGAATGTGGCTGAAGCTGGAACTTTCAAAGTATCTTGGCTGACTCATAAGCTAGAAATTCTGGTCCTGAAATGTGTCTAACCATTGTGATCATCGATCTTCACTTTTCTTCATAAAATAAGCATATTTACACAAATTAGTCTTCATTTACCTATATCTGAATTCCAAAGTTCTTAATCACAAAATATGCACATTTTTCTTCAATTATATGCATGAACATACATTTTTCATCCCAAATAACCATCAACTAAGTATGCAAAACTACATTTTTTAGCCTTTAATCAAGGCTTATCAACTAGCCAAATCGAGCATAGCTCAAGTGGTTAAGGCACTAAAGATTTAGAAAAAATTGATTTTAATCTTAGTGACCACCTACCTAAGATTTAATATCCTACGAATTTCTTTTCCAACCAATATAATAAGACCAGATAGTTATCATGTGAGATTAGTTAAGAGTGCACGTAAACCAGCCCGCACACCAAAAAATATCAAACGTGTATAAAAGCTTTGAAAAAAAATCATATATAAAAATTAATCTATAGTCATTCCAACAGTAAACAACACTAGTTATTTTTTAAATAAACCCAACCTGTAAAGTATTTTAATTGGGCAAAACATGCTAAATTTGGGTCCATGTGTTGACTATTATTTATTCCCAATATTAATATGTGACATTGTGAAATAATAGTGAACAGTAGATAATTTAGAGTTTATTTGGTGATGTTCTGTTTCTTATTTTTAGTTTTTAATTTCTAGATTTTTAGAAACATAAAACCTTGACAATTGTTCTTGTTTTTCATTTCTCATTTAAAATAAAATGTTTCTAAAATTGTTTTTCTTGTTCATATTTTTATTTTTTTCCTTCGAAATTAAATTTTATATAAAACTTTTATTTTTTTTAATCTAATTTTTTAGAGAACTAAAAAAACATGTTTTCTATTTTTTAATAAAAAATAAATATTGAAAAACAAAAATATATATAAAAGTTACCAGATGAGTTCTCAATTGTTTTAAAATATTTAGAAACTATGTTTTTCTTTTTAACTTCTAGACACAAGAGGGCTCGAATCTGGACCTTGGATGTCAACATTCAAGCCTCTTGTCACTGTGCCAACACCCGAAGGTGCAATATATGTATTGTTTTTTAATGGTACATCTAGAAGACAAAATTATTGCTTGTAATGGATATATATGTATGTTGTTAAGAACTATTTCAGGAAAAAACAACAAAGAGAGAAAAGTCTATATTTAAATTATTTGAACGTTAATCAAAATAAGTTTAGAAAGACAATTGACTTCTCAGTTTTTTCCCAAGTAAAAAAAGAAATCTCATTTGTTGATATAAAGAATTTAGGTAATGTTTAAGATATCGTTGTTAATTAAAACGTCGATATCTCAATTTTATAAAAATGTTGACGACAATATCAATATCAAAGTACATTCTTACAAAATCACTTTAAATCTATATTGGTACCGTTAATATATATATATATATTTTTTTTCTTTTTTCAAACGATGCATTGTTTTATTGAAGGTATGCGAGAGACATATAAAATGATAGATGCCAAAAAAAAAATCTCTAGTGGACGATATATCATAATTAAAAAAATAATTGTTGACCAAATTGAAGTGACCAGAAAGTTTTACATCCTCCAAAAGCTTGTGTGCGATCTAGAAACATCCAAAAAATTTCATGGTTTCTCTCCAATCAAACATCAAAGAAAATAGCTACCATAATATTTCACGAAATGATATTTGATCAGAAAGCTATGGGAGCAATTAATAAGTAGATTGTATATTTATACTAATAATGTTTTTCTCATCAAATTTAATTATAAATCTTACTTATGGTAGAGAGAGAAAAAAAAGAAATGAGTACTAAGTAGGTTTATAATTCTTTAAAAAAATAAAAATAAAATAATTATCCAATATCGTTTTATAAAAAAAAAGTAACAAAAAAGAGGGAAAAAAATGAAAAACTAGATACGATAAAATGAAAAGAGAGTTACCAAACCGATTTTTTACTGTATTAAAAAAAATTGATTTTTTACTACTGACATGAGGTCATCTTTATTCTAAAAATCGATTTTTTGATGCTCAAATCACATGTGGATATTATTTAAAAGGTCCATTTTGGTAAGAAAAAATAATAATTAAAAAAAAAAAAACCCTTAAAAAACGAGCGAGTCCCGTCCCGTCCCGTGAAAGGGAGTTGGAAGAAGCAAACAGCGTGTGTTCTGTTTTCTGTATCTTCGAAATCCAGAAGCCATTAATGCACCTTCTTAATCTTCACCGTACGGATCCCTCAGTAGTTCTTCACATCAGAAGCCATTAACGCTCGCTCTCTCTCGACTCTCACTCCTCCATTTTGGCAGTAACCCACTTCATTTCTCATCTTCCAACCCCACAATTTCTCCTCTGAATCGTCTCCTTCCTCACCCTCCAGTAGGGTTTACTGCTCCTGCTCCGCCTCGATCCCTCGGTTCTGGTAAGACCCTCTTCTTATTTCGTCCTGTTCTGCTACACGGTGCGTGTCCTGTGTTGCAATTGAATTTCTCTCACTTGTTTTTGCTGCATTCTCCCAGATCTGCTCGAATTTTGTTTTTATTTGCGTTTCCCACTTGGATCACTTTTGCATCACATGTGAGTTGTGCCCCGGCTTTGTTCTTGATTACTTCTTGTATACGATTCGTTCTCATTCTCGTGGTTGATTTGTAATTTTTCGCAAATCGTGTTACTCCGTAACTCTCGGTGATTTTCGATGCATACAATGTAACGTATCTGGGGTTTGCTTGTTGGGAGAGATAAATTGGTTGTTCCCTTTCTTTTTTTTTTTTTTGACGCCTGTCTTTATTTTCAGGAGCTGTCCTGCATGGATGTACGGTACAGCAGGCACTGCATCTGTCGGGTTAACGTATAAACCCCATGTTTAGCTATAGCTTTAGAAGATGAATTCGACTGCTGGGTTTAGATAGAAGGAAAGGATAAGTCTATTTGAAAGTATTATCATGCGTCTATCTTCAGATCATAGACAGAGGTGTTGAAGATAGTTTAGAGCTGGAACTCACCTGTTAGATTAGCCAGCGAAAGTTTTAATTCGCCAAAATGATCAACAGACCACTTGTGCTGACTTACCTGTATCTTTTCATCTACATTTTGCTATCATCTGGAGTTATTTTGTACAACAAGGTATTTCCATATCTTTTTTTTCTGTATTGGTCAGATCTAAATTTTATTCTAGTTTCCAAGCACAAGTAATCATAAATTAACCATGTCGCAATCTGAATTGAAACCATATCCACTACTTAGGAGTTGCCTTTTAACTACAAATACTATTTAATTCTCATCTGATGCTCATTTCTCTTTTCTCTTCTAATGTTGCAGTGGGTACTCTCCCCAAAATACTTCAATTTTCCTTTGCCTATTACACTTACAATGATTCATATGGGGTTTTCTGGCCTTGTTGCATTCTTTCTTGTACGTGTATTCAAGGTATGATTTTGCCTGAACTCAAGATATAGCTTATAGGGAATTTCTTCAATTTACTAGTGGTTATTTGTCAAATTTGTTCCCTTGGTAAATAGATGACTGTTAAATCTTAGAATCAAACAATCACTTCTACATGTTACCCTTCAAACTGGAGAATGGGGTTTTAGTGACTGTTACTCTTGTCTTCCTTCGAGATAGGCTCTTTTGAGCAAATCTACAGAAAAAGATTAAAAAAAAAAAAGTTCTTAACCTTCCTAGTCTCTGCTTACTAAAAATTGTTACCAGCAGGCACAAATTCATGATCTTGTGTGTTTTTGAAATCCCACTTGGGCCTCTGCATCCATTTGTCCTTGCAGTTAATCTATTCTTTTCTCGAATTCTGGTAACTAGAGTAATGTATGTTTGATCCAAATCTGCAGGTTGTATCTCCAGTCAAAATGACTTTTGAAATGTAAGTGCTCTGAGAAATGAAAAGCAGTGCCTGTAGTCCATTGTTTTCTGCAGAATTCTTTTTCCGTGTAATATCTATCTGTTTTTATGTGTAATATCTTTTTTGTTTGACAGATACGCAACGTGTGTCATTCCCATAAGTGCCTTTTTTGCATCAAGTCTTTGGTAAGTAAAATAGTGACATGGCATTTGTCCTCTAGTAATAGTACTTGAAAGAGTTTTCATTTGGGAGGCATGGGTATCTTTTCTAGGTTTTGTAAATGGTATTTATCCAATACATTGGTTTCTAGAATTATGAGGTTCTAATTGTAAAAGTATCGTAATCCTTTTTTGTTCTTTCTAGGTCAAGAAAACTTGTACACTTTTATGATGTTTAAGCATTCTTTTGTTTGTTTTCATTGAACAAGTTAGCATAAATCAAAGTGAAACGTATCTGTGAATTTGATATGTAAAGGTGTTAACTTATGTCATAGTTTTCATGATATTTTGGAAGTCTATATGGGGAGTGGTGCAGCATGTTCTTTTGGTTCCATGGTTTTAAAATACCAGTTATATACTTGGTAAAGTACATAATGTTTTAGTGTAACTAACCATTGATTTTTTCAGGTTTGGTAACACTGCGTACTTACACATATCTGTGGCCTTCATTCAGATGCTTAAGGCTTTAAGTAAGGAGGCTTAACTTAATCTTTTTCCTTACTTACAGAATGAATCTCCTTAAAAATGTAAAATAATTATATTTAAATTTGATATTTCAGTGCCAGTAGCCACATTTTTAATGGCTGTTGTGTGTGGTACCGACAAGTTAAGGTGTGATGTTTTCTTCAATATGGTGCTGGTCAGTGTTGGAGTTGTCATTTCCTCGTATGGGGAGATCCATTTTAATGTAGTAGGTACAGTTTACCAGGTCACGGGTATCTTTGCAGAAGCTCTCAGGCTGGTCTTGACGCAGGTCCTTCTACAAAAGAAGGGCTTGACTCTAAATCCTATCACCAGCTTATATTACATTGCTCCATGCAGGTATAGTGTATTTTGATGCTTCTTGACTTGAATTAGTAATGTTAACGTTAATGGATTCTTAAGGTCCCGTTATGATCAATTAGTAACAACTCCTTAAAGGAAAATATTGTAAATGTGACAGAAGATAGATTATAATTTAATGATGATCAATCTAATTTAGCTGCTCACCTTTTTATGTTTGATACATGCAGTTTTGTTTTCCTCTTTGTTCCTTGGTACTTATTGGAGAAACCGGAAATGCAAGTTACTCAAATTCAGTTCAACTTCTGGATCTTTTTTTCGAATGCACTTTGTGCCTTGGCGTTGAACTTCTCTATTTTCTTAGTAATTGGAAGAACTGGAGCAGTTACTATTCGAGTTGCCGGTGTTCTCAAAGACTGGATACTTATAGCCCTTTCAACTGTTATATTTCCTGAGTCTACGATTACAGGGTTGAATATCATTGGCTATGCAATTGGTAACCGTTGTCAAGTGGAGGATGTTTCCTGTTATGTCTTTCTAATTTAATTTGATCTTAATTTACCTGCTCTTCTCTCAATGCAGCATTGTGTGGCGTCCTCATGTATAATTACCTGAAGGTCAAGGAGGTTCGTGCATCTCAACTGTCTTCTGAAAGCATTCCAGAGAGAATTGTAAAGGTTGGAGCTCTCAGTTATTCATATCTCATAGTAGTTTTAATCATTTAAAATAGTTCCTTCGTTCACTTGATGCAATGTTTCATATGTTTTATGTAGTACTAAAAAAGACAAACTTTTTAGGTGGGAAACAATTAATTAGAAAATAAGTTAGGAAAGATGGGGGTGGTAAGACATTTGAACCCTGGCAACGCTAGAAGGATTATGAAAAATTCCTCCAATTGATGTAAGTAAAAAGGGGAAACATAATTACAGAGGAATTTAGAAAAAGTATTTCTGAAGGAATGAAGAAATTTGACGATGCCCGCCCCTAATCCCCAACTCTAAGTACCAGCAAAAATCCTATATTTCTTTCTATCCAAACTTCCCAAAATATAGCGATAACATGATGTTCCAACAAGATTCTGGCTTTTCATATGAAGGGGTATCCACATAAGAGCTGCTCACAGTCGAGTATTTTTCTGGCAGTACCAGGCATAACCAAATTTGTTAAAAGCTTATGCGAATGACTTGTAGTTTAAGAGCAGGAAATAAACAGATGGCTTTCAATATCCTGGTTCTTATTACTTAAGCCGCATAACAAGGGAAAAGGGCTGTATAAGGATGACTTCTTTGGACATATCAGTCTTATAAATTCCACCCAAAGCAAGCGTCCAGGGAAAAAGGCTGTATAAAGATGGCTTATTTGGACATATCAGTCTCATAAATTCCACCCAAAGCAAGCATCCTCCAAGAAGTTCTAGCTTTCTTAGGGCTTCATTGAGAGCTGTGATTTACATATTCTTGTGTATTTAGTAAGCGTCTTTAGAAGGGTCTTTCATGTCAACTCCCTTGATCCTTATGTTAGTTGAGAGGTTGAAGGTTGGTTATCCAGTAGCTGAATTAGAGTGGCCAAATCTAGGATATTTTTTAAAATTATTTTTATTAGAATCTATGTCATTAAAACCACCATCAAGTACCAATTTACTTAGTGATGCCCAAGTTTCATATTCCGTTCCATCGTGTCAGTTCTTGTTTTTACTAACCTAGGAATATAAGGTAAGAACTTTACTAGGTGCTTAAATTTTGTCAGGAATATAATAGTTATAGTTACAGATACCGGAGGAAGTTTCGTAATACTTTCTTGACATCTTGTCTACATTGATAATATAATACTTTTGGAACTTATTTTTTTCTTAATGCCAAATGTGAAGTAATTTCTGAAGGCAAATGGTAAATTTGAACTAAATTCTCACGGACTGCTTGGTTCACTTCATGATTGACATGGAAATGAGATGTATTAGATTGGAATCCCCATGTATTATAAGAAAGAATGTTGGATGGATTGTATTTTTTTAGTTCTGCCTGAGAATGTATTTGTTTTACAGAGCTTGTCTATGTCAATCCTTCAACATTATGGTTTTCTTTTTTGTTTAACTAATAGAAACTTGTGATTTTTTTTTTATTTTATTTTATGGGAATCCATTTTTCAAGATCATGAACTAGAGGAACTTCTGCTACTTTCATTATATCGGACGTTGTAGTTTGGGGAACTGTGCCCTGCAGTTATAAATTCGTATTGGGTTATTCTGGAGATACCTTTAGTGATGACTTACTGCAGTGGTCCTGAATAAGATCTATCACTCTTGAAAATCCACTGAAAGATACTAAAAAAGCTTCGTTGATTTTATCAGGGCCATTTATTAAATGCTGCTTGTCCTTTTATGTTTTCCTTTGTACACTTCCGATGGAGAAGAATCTGGGTAGTAATGTGACTTGTTTTTCACATGTTAAAGACAACACCTAGACTGGGGGATATATTTAATTGATGAATATTTCTTTTGGCTAGTATTAGAGTACTTCCTTCCCTCTCCCTCGATGAATTTGACCAGTAGATTTATGGATGTACCTGTAAGACTTAAACTTTTAGACGGTAAACGTTCTGCAAATGTGTCATTCTGAATCAGTCAATAAAGACTCGGAAATCTTAAAGTACTTGTTGGGGGGGTAATGACTTTGGGTTGGTGTGTGAACAGTAACCTCACTTGCTTTAGTATAGCTAAATTGGTTAAAACATATATTTTCAAAAGTTCAGTTCAAATCCCCACCCCCACTTGTTTAACCGGAAAAAAAAAAATACTTCCTGTCTCTTCTTTCAACATTTTCTCAACTGGAACTTTTGTTGCCTAGTACAGGACTGGAAGTTAGAGAAGAAGTCGTCTGATATATTCACGCCAAGTAGCAACAATGGCAATGGTGGAAATGGGTCATCGGATATGAATGTCAATGAAGAAGCACCTTTACTTGCATCATCGAGGTTGTCGCATGTCGGTCGCATGCAGGTCGGTAACCACAATCAGTAGTGATATATAAATATGAATATATGAATCGCTAGGAAGGAAAAAGAAGAAGAGAGAGATAGGAAAACATTCAATGCAAGTTGTTTTCAGCACATGAGATGTGATGAAATGTTTTTGTGAGTTTTAGAAGGCAATTGCAAATCCCCATTTGATTTTGTCTTCTGCATGGAATAGAGAGAGCCTGCCCTTGATTTGAATGGAATACTATTAGAACAATTCTTTTAACCAAGTCATGTAATTGTATTCTTTTGATGAGCCAGACCTTCCTTTTAGGGGCAGTAAGTAAAACTTTTCTTTGCAGTCTTTCAATCCATGAATACTAATAGTCAAAAGTTACTTTTGTTGGTAAGTTTTTGCCTTTTTGTTTTTTAAAATTAAGTTTTGAAACATTACTTCCAAAGTTCCTTTGTTTTGTTTACAGACATTTTCAAAATTAGACCAAATTTTGAAAAAAGAAAAAAAAAAGAAAAAAAAAGGAGTTCTTGTTTTCGAAATTTGATTTAAGAATTCGTGTATGTTTTGAAAAGAGGTGAAAACTTACTAATAAAATTGTATATAGTTTTTGAAGACAACTAAAAACGAAAACGTTATCAAATGGTATTTTATTTTTAATTTTATAGATTTACAAATACGTTCCATTTACAGAATTTTTAAGAAATAGACCTTGTTTCTCATGCAATATGCTCCAAGATTATCTAATTATTGTTTTGTTTACTACTAAGAATAATTTCTCTAGTTTTCTCCTTTTTTAGAAAGTTGATCTCGTTACGTTTTTGGTTTCTAGAAGTGAATAATTAAAAAAAAGAAATGGGTAATCAACCAGTATAATTTCTTGAAATGGAAAAGGGGTGAAATGATAGGATTTGAGATTCCTAAATTTTGTTGCAAAATTTAGAACCTATAAGAAAATATATGTATACTATAAAAAGTATTAGATGTATGCAAAATTATTCACATAGAAATTGATAAAAGATTGTATTAAAGTATATATCTATTAGTTTGAAGGTTAAAGGAACTGCTCTTCTAAAAAAGGAAATTTTGAAATAAAATGTGAAATATGTTATTTTTATCCCTATGTTTATAAATCACTTATCTTTTCTATTTTTGAAAGTTTCTATTTTTGAAGATACGTATCATCGTGGATATTTCTCTTTCTAACCATACAATTACTAGTATGTCTATTGTGATTTCCAATACAGTGGTTAAAATCGGAGTTTGTCGAGTCTTATGTAAAACAATTGACGTGCTATTAAGGGATTGGGGGAGCTTATCGATTCTTCAGACATTTTTTGTTGATTATAAAGGATGAATGATGAAAATATAAATTTCAAAAGAGCATGGAGAAATGGTCGAGCATGAAGCAGGTAGACATAGGTAGTTGGCGATCCTTTGAGTCTAATATGACTAGTAATAACAATAATGCGTGCACTACGAATATTGATTATTATTTTATTCGTTGTTCTTGTGTATTCTGTCTAACTTTTGTGCTTGTGATATATATCTTTATCATTTAAGTAACTTCTCATTAAGATGAATATTTTATGATATATTTTGTTGATTTGATTGATTGATATTAAATAATGTTAGATTTATAATCTATTGATGTGATATGATAATTATTTGTTTGTTTTTTTTTTGTGATGATAAATTACTACTTAACTATTAAAGTATTTCTTAGTACAATCATTGGTTCAAATCTAATAGAAGGTAGAACTTACTAGAATACCCATTGCCTCTTTGAAAGATTAAAGTATATATCTTTTACTAAAAACTTAAAAGAAATAGAACTTTTCAAACTTTTGGAGACTAAATTAAAAATATTGACATTATATTTGAAGGTTAAATTATGAATTTGGTCTATATGATTTGAGCTAAATTGAAATTTGATCCTTATAATTAAAAAAAGTATAAATAAAGACTTGGGATTAATTCAATTTGTCTCTATAATTTTTAAATTCTCAAAAGTATATATTATTTATCTTTGAGAATTTTAAAATTAAATTCAAACATAGTTTGCAAGTTTATATATTTAGTAGCGAAATTAGTTACTATTTGTCGGTCCAATCATAATTTAATAAATAATGTATCTGCTACCATTTCAAAGATCGATAGTTCAATGCTCATCATGTCATCTTTGAAATAAAATTGAAATCAATTATTAATTTGACTTTGTCATATTAGAATGTTAAAGAGAAATTAGTTATTAATTTGACTTTGTCATATTAGAAAGTTACTCATCTCAATTAATGAGATAGTGATTGCCAGAAACTCATACATAAATAAGGTTCACAATTTATTAAATTTTAACATGTAAGATGAAATTAAACTTAAATGGTCATTAATTGGGGTTTAATAAAAACACGTGGGCTTGAGAGTTGGAAACCTAATTTCAAGGAAGAAAAATGTGTTTCTCCATTAAGATTTATGTCAATTAATTGATTCAAGTTTCTTCAAATGGTTATTTCATTTTAGTTCTTGAATTTTTTTTTTTTTTTTTTACAACATGGGAGGTGGGGATCGAAGTCACGACATCTTGGTTTGAGTTATATGTCAATTACCGCTGAGCTATGCTCGCTTTGACTAAAATATAAGTTTCTTTTGAAGGATAAATAAGTTCAATTATACATTTTATTCAAGGAAGAACGTCGAGATATTTTTATTTTTATTTTTTATAACGGTCTTTTAAGTTTATTGTTTTATTTGGAGTATATTCTTTTTCTATTTAATGCTACATTATGATGGTAATAAAGTTATCACAACTTATTTGAGATATCTTAGTAATGCCAGGAGTCAAGAATAAAGTTATCACAAATTATTTAAGATATCTTAGTGCATTATTTATTTTTGTCATCAATCATTAAAATTTTTTATAAAATGCACGTTTGATCAAGGATATATTTCTTTGGAGTTCTTACGTTTCAACCAAAGTTTATAGTTTAGTGTTTAACATTTAGTAAACAGTTCTAAAAGGTCTCTAAGTCAAACTACCCTTAATGTCACTCACACAATGTTGATGCGAGAATTTGCAAGAACAAGTGTCATTTATTGATGTGTTAATTTTAAATGATGAGTCATTGACTTAAAAAAACAAAAAAAAAAAAGAATAGGAAACAAAAACTATCAAATGTTTGTAAAAAAATAAAAACAAACAAAACAAAAAACAAAAAACCGTCGCCACGGTAGCTAGGGAAAACCTACAAATCTAGTGACCATCGCTGTTGGTGGACCACGTCAACAAATGTCATTTGGACCCTAATGACACTGACAACAATATAATTTGACTTTAGTAACCTTTTATAGCTATTTTATAAAGGTCAAAGATTAAGCTATCACTTTTTAAATAGAAATTTATCTTCAAACTCTAGAAACAAAAATACGTTTTACCCTAAAAGAATTGTTCGCCTCAAAACGTATTATTTGGATGTACTCTTACCTCCAAATACATCAAATAGGCTTTAATGAAAAGAGGAAAGGAAAACCGAAGTAATAATTAAATATGATATCTATTGATGCAATTTTTGGGAGTTGGTCGAACCAAAGGTCGGGGTTAACTGAATCGTACAATTCGAGTGGATTGATCGTCGAGTGATCATGAAGAGGTTGGGTCTAACTTGGAGAAGTCATGACCCGATGGGTTGTGAGCAAGGGAAGGACGAGATCTTGCTATTTGGAAGACTGAGGCGAATGCGACCTGTATAAAAATAAGGTAAGTGGAGGGCCAACGTGGTGCTAGCCTACCACACTCGACGTCAATTTTGTCAAAAAATTAACTCCTACCGACCAACGATCACCTATAATTTTAGGTAGAACAAAAAATTCTCATGCCACCTTGAAGCTTGTCCCCGCACTAGTTCGATTATCTGGTTGATGATGATGTTCCGCTCAAATGAGCTTGTGGCACTAGAGGCTACTTTGGGCCAAGCTTAGAGAGCAGTTGTTTCATTCAAGTGTACGGGTCAAGTTTTAGGGTTGAGGGCGGCTGTTTCCTAGCGTCATAGCGTCAAGATCCTGTAAGTGGTGTTGAGACACTACGATGTGAAGCGTTAATTATCTTGCTTTTCATCGTAGCATTGAGACGCTCTGATGGAACGTCTCAACGGTCATCTGGCTAGATTTCATCATTTGAGCGTTGAAACACTCTGGTGGTGTCTTAACGCTACCCCCTCGGGTCTTCTGGCTCTAAATTATGTTGTGGAGCCTTATCAACTTGTTTGGGGCTATGGCTTTTCACTCTATTTGATCAATTAAATGTCTCGATTCTTCTTGATACCTTATTTTTACAAAATAAAATTTATGCGTGTAAATTTATCATAAAGAAACGAAAACTAACAATTAATTCCATTATAATGATTATAAAATATAGCTCGCACGAACACGCTTCAAAATTAGTTATTCGGACTTCATTGCTCTTCTTCTTCGGCTTATGATATTAATATTCAATTTGCAATGGAAGGAGTAGCTCATATCTATTATAAACTATCTTAGACTCTAATACCATATTAATATTCATAGGGTTCCATCTCAAAATCAATTAACAATGAAATGAGTAGTCTATATCTATTATAAACCATCGTTACATACCTCTTATTTTTAATGTGGGATCCTTAACATATAGTTTCTTTAGTTTTTATTTATTTATTTTGAAAAGGTTGTTTGGCTATTTGGTCGCTGACGATATTCCGCGCTCAGTTTTTATCCTAATAGGAACTATCAGCATCAATAAAGTATATATTTATTGAAGTAATAATGTAATCATAAGATTTTAGAATGCATAACAATTGATTCATGATAAGTTTTAACTTTGTAACGATCTAATTTCTAAATTTAATTAATATGTAACGACCTAGTCTTTATTGAGAGAAATTTCTTTAAGGTAACATGTCGATCTTGAGTTAGTAAGTAATAATTTAGTCATTGTAGTTTAAAAATACATCTAGCTAGTTCTCATGTGTATAGTTTACTGATCTTTATAAGAGAAAACATTTCGTTTCATCTTAATGGAACTCTTTATAATAAAGACTGAATCGTTATTACTTAAATTATAGAGGCTAAATTATTATTACAAATTTTAAACTATAGAAAATTATTCCATGAAGTACAACAACATGCGAAGGTTGAGATTTGAACCCACAATTTTTTGATCGGAGTACATGCAAAGCTATAAGTTTATCACGTCATTATTTAAAAAAAAAAAGTAATGATGAATCCCACATCGTAAATTATCGTTGAGATAAGAAACATTATTTTCATTTCCAAATTTGACAATTAATTAGCATCACAACATTATTCAGTTTAAGAAAGCAACAATTACAACATTATAATTGTGGTCAAATTCATAAGAAATATAAGTTAATAAATAAATAAAATAATAACAAAGTTATAAATGATGGTAGATAAGTTTTGTTAGCCTTGTGTGAAAAATATGCCTTTTTACAAATATATATATATAATTGTAAATATAAAATAAAAAATATTATTTCTGTTCATAGACTTAATAATAATAATTAGTAAAAGCCTGTTTGTTATTTGATTGAGTTATATTTCAAATACTCTATTCTTGCTGTAGCTAACACAACTTCCACTTTTTTATTTATTCATTTATTTTACTTGTTAAAGCAACATTTTGAAGGGAAAAAAAAAGTAGCTTTAGCTTTTTAGATTTAGCTAAAAAATTAAACCTATTTTAAAAAATGTGAAAATTTACCGAATAAATAGTGAGAAAACAAGTATGATTAAAAAAAAATATTTATTTTTAATTTTCTATTTTAAAGAATCATGCTTGTTTTTCACCCTTTCATTAACTCTCTTCCAAACATATTTAATTCTTAACCAAATTTAAAAACACAAAAACTTTTTTTTGTCAGGAATGATAAACTATCCCTTTCTCCAAAGTTTGGCTTATATTTTAAAAGTGTTTACAAAAAATATAAAAAAAATGCTTCTCCGGAGAAAGATCGACTGGTTAGGCGGACCAAAAGACGTAAAGAACGCGGAGCGTGGTCGTATGAAACTGCCATGCATCTTGGCTCCCGAGACTCTCATAGAATTCCAATCATTTCTCCCGCTCCTCAAAAGGTACGTATAAGTAAAAGTAATGTTTCTAAATTTTATTTTTAAATATTAAAAATAAAAAAAATAGTTATCAAATAGGACCGAAATCAAACGATGACACTAAATTACAAATTTCGTCCAAAATTTCGATGGTTGCAGCTAATTAGTTACTAAATTATATATATACAAACGATTATGGCATTCAATTTGAATTGAGATTTTACAAATTTTGTCATTAACATTATTAATTAGATCATCCCTATTAATTAAATGTTAATTAAGTAGCATCAGATGATAAACAAATGATAAAATAAAGTAGACAACTAAACAAAATAGAACATCGGGATATTTGATACATTGTTTAAAAAAGCGGATATTTATTTTTTCAAACTTTCACTTTTTTCACGTAAAAAATTTGTTTCTCAAAACGCCCATCAACAAATATTTTATCCAATAAGCATGTAAATACAAGTATCCAATTCAAGTAATTTTAAATAATTTTTAAATTTGGTTTTATAATTATTGACGTGTGTCGTACATTATGAATAAATTATATTCCTAAAATATTTTTTTATAATATCTTGAGTTTTTTTTTTGTTTTTAGTTAATATTTTAAGTTACAATTGTATTAGATCGGGAAACCGAACATAAATGGAGCATGTGATCGAACCGGCGAAAATCCGACGTAATGTAATTTTGTAGCATTTTTTAATAATTATTTTTTAGGTTACGAAATGGGAATTTATTAATAATTAAGTAAAATAAAATAAAAAGGAGAACGTGAAATTTGTCAAAATGATTCCGCAGCCCATTCCTCCACCCCCAAAGCATTGCAATTGCGTGTCTACAACCTTATCCACCTACCCCACTTCCCCTTATCTTCTGACACGTGTCCTCTTTTTTTCTTTTTAAAGTTAAATTTCAATGTTCTTTTACTTTATATATTTTTTTGTCTCAGGTTTGAGATAGTTTGTCTGGTTCGTGAAGTTTCGAGTAGGTGTCAAATGAACATTTTTGGTCTTTAAATTTGAGAAATAGTTCCAAATGATCCTTAGTTTTTTTACTGTTAATTAATTAATATTAAAATGACATGATAAATTGCAATTAAATTGTTTATTGTTGTTGCTGATGTAGCAAATTATATTAATTAAATGATATATGTGTAAGTGATGGTACTTTCTCACTCCTCTCCTCATCTCTTCTGCTCTCTTTCACCTACCTTTTTTCGGCGACCAACATGTCTTTGCCACCACCATTCGTTATTCATATCGAACATATATCATTTAATTAATATAATTTGTCACATCGACAACTACAGTAAATAATTTAATTTTTTTTCCAGTTAATAATTACCAGAGGAGAGATTGAACCATAAATCTTTAAGATAGTAATAAGTACTACTAAACTACGTTTTTGGTGGATAAAAATTGATAATATGCCAAGTTTAGAAGTAATAAAAAAAACATTCTTTTTCTTATATAAATAGGAAAATGATACGTATTATTTATTTTCTCAAAAAAAAAGGACAATTTCTATTTTTGATGTAAAAACTAATGCAAAAATGAACAAAACTGCCCCAAATTTGATGAAAATTTTCCTTTTTCTTTTTCGTCTTCTTTTTTATTTTTATAAATTATTTATTCATCTTTTTACCTGATCCAGTTCCATTCCATCCATGTACTGTGATGTGGTTAAAATTCCAACCCTAAAAAAGTTTCTCTGAAGAGGGCGTTATTATAGAGAAGGAAAATTCTCTGAATTCAAGCAAATAATCTGAGAGTCGTTAATTTGAAGAGCTCCCTCGATTTCCCGAACCTCGTCTTCTCTGTCTGTTTGTTTGGCCTCGAATTCTTAATCTTGGCTTGCATGCCGGTTCCTTCTTCCATTTCCTTGGTGGGATTTTCGTTCTGGGCTCCCTCTTTGAGCCATGGCGGCTAAGAAACTCTGCGAGACCTTCCCCAAGAGCCTGATCGACGAGGTCCAGAAATGGGGTTGTATGAAACAGACGGGGGTCAGTTTGCGATACATGATGGAGTTCGGGTCGAAGCCGACTGAGAAGAATTTGCTCATTTCTGCCCAGTTTCTTCACAAGGAGCTTCCCATTCGGATTGCCAGAAGAGCTATTGAACTCGAGAATCTTCCCTATGGCCTCTCTGCGAAACCTGCTGTTTTGAAGGTTGGTTTTCACCCCTTTTATCTGCTTTGCATTTCCCTGAATTGGTTGTGTTTTCTTTTCTTTTTTTTTTTTGAAATCTCGAATGTATGAGGAATTTCTGGCAGTGGGCAATTTCGAATATCTTTAATGGATATAATGTTTCTTGTGTCTGGCAGAGAAGGTTTCATCATTTCACTTCATTGGCTTCTGATTGTGGTTTCTGATCATCACTTTTTTCAGCCCCTTTCTCTGTTGGAAATTTACTTGTTTGTTTCAGATTTCCAATTTTGGATCCTAATCTTTTCATGCTGGATTTATTTATTCATTAAGGGCAGTTGGCAAAATTCTGTGCAGTTATTTAATTCTATTCATAGCTATTGTAGAAGATTCCTTTTTGACTTGAACATCCTAAAGTGCTTTTGCTGGTTAACAGTTTTCTGCTGGTGATTGCGTTTTGCTTGCTTTTAAGAGTTCGAATCTTTGTTGTATTTTATATGAAGGCTATATTTAAGACATATTTTGCCTCAGGAAAGTACTTGCATGCATAATGAAATGCTTGGATGTAGTAGGGATTTGTTTGGGAAATCTTTTCAGAAAAGTTTCTGCTGTTTGGAATGAATTTCTGGAACAATGTTTGTTGGCAATTGTTTCTTAAAGTTGTTCTAGAAACTGCCTGTGTTTCAGAAAAATGAAGTTATTAGTCATGTCAAAGTCACATGCTTGTGAATAGTGATCTCAATGTTCTCAATAATATGAACTGTTACAGATTATTTAATCACAATCTTCAAGAACGATTTTGAAATTTGAAAGCAGAAAACTGTTTTTGAAACAGTTTCCCAAACTTGGCCTATTAGTTTCTTATTTGAGTTTCACAGTGCATGTAAAGGCAGGATTCTATCTAAGTAATTTTTAGTACTACCATTTACTTTTGAAGTT